GGCTCTTTCAGTGTTGCTGTTTGCTATTGGAGGAGTTCCTTTTGTCATATGGGGAATGGTATGATTAATCTAAGCATGGTTTGATTATGATTATAAGTATTGATTAACCTCCAAATTGATTAGGGTTTTGTGTTGATTGAACTATTCGTAGTGCGTGAGGTTCGTAGTGAGCTTGCATTTAACATCTATGATCAATTCGGTCTGCCATATTTGGGGAAAGCAACCATGGAATACGGGTGATTTATCTAAGAACAATTGGTAATTTTCTTTTCTCTTTTTTTACTATTTGCACGTGAAGATTTTTTTTATGAGATTCCGCATCAGTTGGAGAGGAGAACGAAACATTCTTCTATGTGGGTGTGAAAACCTCTCTCTAGCAGACACGTTTTAAAATTTTTGAAAAGTGTAAGATCCTACATTGGTCGGGAGGAAACGAAACATCTTCCAAGCAACAAATGAGTTTTAAAAACCTTGAAAGGAAAGATAGCCAAAAGAGGACAATATCGACTAGTGATGAGCTTTGATCATTACAAATGGTATCAAAGCCGGACACTGGGGGATATGTCAGCGAAGAGGCTGATTCTCGAAGGGGGTGGATTTGGTGGGAGTCCCACATCGAGCGGAGAAAGGAATGAGTGTCAGCGAAGGACACTGGACTCTAACGAAGGTGGATTATGAGATCTCACGTCAGGTGGAAAGGAGAACAAAACATTCTTTATACGCTAGACTCTGAAGGAGTGGATTGTGAGATTTTACATCGAGTTGGTAGGAGAATAGAAAGTCTAAATACGACAATATCTGTTAGCGATAAGTTTGAGTCGTTGTATGCTTTTTCAGGATGGTAGCTTTGATAACGTTTGGAGAGGGATGGCACAACAACCACCACGCCTTCGAGTATTCAGCAAGGCATGGGCATGAATGGTGGGAGATTGATTTTGGTTGGTATATCATTAAGTTTCTTCAAGCCATTGGGTTAGCCACCTGCGTCAAGTTACCCTCTCAAACCCAGAAGCTGGCTGCCTTAAACAAATCAAAATCTCGCCTTTCTTAACCCTATGATTCATTAAGAACACCATTATATTCTCTCATATCTGAATGTGTTGCAAAATCATATTATATCGATGTATGAACTTATTATATTATACTCGTTTCGAATAAGATGAGACATCTATACTTATGTTCCTATTATGTTTGTAGTTTTCAAATCACTAACTAAATAGATTGAAGTTCTTCCCATATTTGACGACAACAACTAAAATTATTAATAACTTTAATAAAAAACACCCCTAATATTTCGTAATGTAACAACCTGACTATCTAAAACTCTAGATCGACTCACATTTATTATTCATATACATGAAGATGTCATTTTAAAGTAGAAGAACGAAAATATGCAACTCGTAATGAGCCAAAACAAACAATATCTACTAGTGGTGGGTTTGAGTTGTTACAAAAGTGACATAGAAATACAAATAAAAATACGATAATAGTCTTCCAATGCAACTAACGAGCACTTTGATCATGATCTTTTGCATTCTCCTACCCTTTCTCGAATAACATTTTATTATGATTAGATATGTTTGCATTCGACTTATATAAACTATTTAAAACTAGTCAACCAGTATGTCTCCCATATTTTAGTGTTATTAGAAGTCGGTTGATTTATTAAAATCAATTATAGTTCGAACAACTATAATTAATTTTAAAAATATATTTTTATTTACTCAAAATAATTAATTAAGTTGAGTCAATTGAAATATAATAATAATAAGATAATAAGATAAAATTGAAATATAATATTTAATTTTGAGAAAAAAGAGAAAGAGCGCAGAGTCTGAATTAAAAGTACAAAGAGGAGACAGTTCCTTTGCCCCAAAAAGTTTCCCAAAAAAAGCCAAATAGGCAACACGTAATCACGTACACGTGGATACCCAAAGGCTGACTTGGCATTTCCTTCACTTGCCACCAATTTAATCCCACCCCTCTCTCTCCCCTTTGTCTGGGAACTCCAACTGCAGCACTATTTTTTTTTTAATATTTAATTAATTTTAAAAAAAAGTCGTACATGAAATATATTTATATTAGTTATTTTATTACGTTAAAAAATATATTTAATTTATTGAACATTCAGTATTATCTATAAATTTTTAATTTTTGAGTTTATTAATTAACTTTTTAGCATTTAATCTTAAATTAAATAAGTTTAAATTATAATAATAGACTTACATTTATTTAACAACAAGGTTAGTATTTCGAGTTGGAAAAAAATAATTATAATATATTTTTTTAATCACTAAAAATAAAAAAGATATGACAAAAACAAGTTTGACGATTCGGTCCAATCAGGAGACGAAACGTGTGTTGAGATGACACGTGGTAAGCTTAATCTTTCCTCTGAATATATATTTCTTCCGCCACTAGAATAGCAACACGTGTCACATGGTAAACTTAATTTTATTTTTTATTTATCAAAAAGATAATCTTAAAGATGCTACAAAGAAGAGGGACAAAACAATATGTAGAGAGGGGGAAAATGTGAGAAACAACCAAATGTATCGACCCACCATCGACAATCATTCGACAACAATATCTTTCTCATATTACCTTACTCACCAACCTCTCGTGACCTTATTTTTTAATAAAATAGAGACGTTACTACATGCATGACATATTTATTATATGTAAAAAAAAATTGTTATAAACGATGTCATGAATTTTAATGAAATAAAAAAAAAGTTTAAGGTGGGTCGGATTGGGTTCTTGGATATATGATTGCATAAAACGTAATGTAGTATATGTTATTCAATTATAAAACACGACACATACATGGGTCATGAAGAATACATTCATCGAAGCGGAATTCCTCCTAAACCGAATGATTGAGGCTTTAGAATCCCAAATCAACATGAAAAGATGGGTTGGACTTTGGAGGTCCACTTAAGAGCATGGTTAGGGAACATGATCCATAAAAGGCTTCATAGGCTCGAAGCTATAAGATAGGCAAAATATTGGTTTAATTTCATAAGTTGGTTCTTATGGCTCGGGTAAATAATAATCATTAATTCTTATAAACATTTTTTAATTATTATATCTTGAATATTATTTTCATTCATATATGGTCTCTTTCAGCCATGAGAGCTTATACTCAAAGTGGACAATATCATACTATTGTGGAGATTTGTGATTCCTAACATGATATCAGAGCCATTAGTGAGTCTTGAAGGTTTAGTCAAAAGTGACTAAAGTGTCGCATTGTTCGATGGCTCAGAGAAAGGAGTCGAGCCTCACATATAATATAATATATATATATATATATTGTAAATCATTAATTATTGTAATAAGTGCAATGCCATATTTGAAAATGATAGGGTATAAGCTTATCTATTTTGTCTACTTATACTCCTAATTTTGTGGCCACCAATTCCCAATGAACAAAAATATTTAGTTTTTAAAATAAAAAAATTATCTCTTTAATTAAAAATAAAATAAAATTTATCTATTTTGGTCCACTCAAATTAGTGGGAAAAATAGTTGTCATTTCACATCATAATTAGCGCGTGTTTAATACGCTCCTAGAAATGACGTGGGATAAGGAAAGCCTTTTCTTTTCGCTTTTATTTTTAATTTGCTGACATGGAGGCATGTTTATTGGTTCTTAATTAATCCTTATAGTGACGGTTTACCGTTAATTGTCCGTTTCCATTTAAACCCATCACGTGGCATTCTCAATCTTTAATTTTTTTTTTTTACTAACACCTGCTAATCTTCATAATTACCGAATTTAAATTCACACAAATTCATAAACCATATGAATTAGTATAAAATATAATTACTTTTAAAATTATGAATATTCTCACGTGTCTCGAATCTCCATCCATACTTATCTTAGAACATAAATGTCATATTTCTAGGTTCAGTCGGTCTAGATTGAACCTACTAGCGAGTATAGCGACAAATCGAGTTTCAATGCGTAATTTCTAGTGACGAATGCTTCCTCCTTAAGAGAAAACTATTAACGATGCTGAGAGATCTCGAGCACAAGTCATGAAGATAAGGCTCGAGATACGATAACAATTTTCAAAATTCTATTGATCCACGGAGAAGATAAATGTAAATTAATTTGACTTAGGCCAATTAAATTGTGAGATATCAATAAAAATCTATACGAACACCAATGGTGTACAAACAAGCTTATTTTCCTATCTCTAATTAATGAGACGAAACCCTAGAAAATGACATTTTGTCTTTTGTTTATGCGAGAACAACATATTATACATGAAATTATTCACAACAATAAAGATGATAAAGATGATGCACGTAACTGCCCAAACCCACCACTAGTAGATATTGTCATTTTTCAGGTTTTCCCTCAAGGTTTTTAAAACATGTCTAGTAGGAAGAGATTTCCACACCCTTATTAAATAATGCTCTGTTCCCATCTCCAATTAACATTGGATCTCAGATCTCACACTACTGCATGACTTGATATTGTGAGGCTGTCATAGGTGTGATTTCAACTTTCGATTTAATTTTCAAATTTCTCTCTCTTGAAGTGACGGTGCGTAACCAAGTTTTGCTATCGAGATCCAACTTTTACGCACTTTATTGAATTTATGTGTACTATTGGCATTGTCTATGCAAAAGAGATAACGGGGCACGATTGATGTTTTCTTTCTAAAAAAACAGATAATACAACTTTGTGGTATATGAACTCACTGGTCATGTCAGAATCTCCAAATAGACAGAAATTTGAATTGATGACTACCCATTCTAAGTCAACGTTATGTTAGGGATCTTACTGTTTCAGAGTTAGTTATAGTTTTTCTCGAATTTAAATATTAAAATCGTAACATGTCTGGTTTAAATAATGAAAATAAAATGATTAAATAAAAAATTAATATTGAAAAATAATTTTAGCATTTTAAAGTTAAAAAATATAAAAAATTAGGAGGGTAAAAAGGGAAAAAGGAAGGAAAAAAACATAAACATCGGGAAAGAGAGAGAGCATTGGATAGAGGTCGTCTTCCCTACCCTTTTTTATTACCATTTTTACAAACGCTTTCCTTATCTCTGGCTTTTCCGCCATTGTTGCTGCCGGAGGAGGACCAGCCGCCTTCCCCATTCTTCCTCAACCCTAATTCTTCATAATCCATCTCCTCAAATACCTGTTAAGATAAGATTCCATTTCTATCCACAATTTTTCTAGAAGTTTCTTTTCACATACGCCATTGTTGTGCTCACTTCGAAGCTCACTGTTGAGGAGGAGTTTGGTTTTGGATATCATCTAATCTCTTATTTTCATGGTGTTCATCCATGGCGGATTGTTCTTTTCTTTTTTTCTGTGAGTGGCTCTTTCTTCTTCTTCCTCCTCCTGTCTCGATTCGGTTTCTTCTCAGTCGATTGAAGCTTGAAGTTTCTGTGATTTTAGTTTTCACCAGGTAATTGATGGTCGGAAGATTGAGGATGAACCATTGCGTTCCTGATTTTGAAATGGCCGACGATTTCTCTCTCCCGACATTCTCTAATTTAACCAGGCCGAGAAAATCGTCTCTGTAAGCGTTGTTTGAAGATTTATTTGTTGATTTGTTTTTTATTTTGTTTTTATGGACTGAGAGTTTGAAATTCGTAGGCCGGATGATGACGTGGTGGAGCTGCTATGGCAGAACGGTCAAGTGGTGACACATAGCCAGAACCAGAGGACGGTCCGTAAATCTCCGCCGTCCAAATTCGATGGTTCGATTCCGCAAGATCAGGCGGCGGTGAGAGAGATCCGGCCGTCGGCTCATTTGGAGGAACCTCATGAACTCTTTATGCAAGAAGATGAAATGGCCGCTTGGCTCAACTATCCTCTCGTTGAGGATCATAATTTCTGCTCCGACCTCCTCTTTCCCGCCATCTCTGTTCCTCTTTGCGCCAATCCTCAACCGGAGCTCCGACCGTCTACAACAGCGACGGTCACTCTCACACCGCGGCCACCGATTCCTCCCAGCCGGATTCCTGAAGCGCAGACTTCTATGCAGTCCTCGAGGAACAAAGCAACGGGCGAATCGGAGCCATTGAATTCGAAGGTCATGGTGCGGGAATCGACGATGGTTGATTCTTGTGACACGCCGTCTGTGGGGCCGGATTCTAGGGCTTCGGAGATGGTGAGGAGGAAGCTTGTGGAGGTGGTGAGTTGTGGTGATGTGCGGTACGAGACCTCTCGCGGCAACGGTGGAATCGGAGGTTCGTCGGTCGGTGGCGATGGCATTGGGGACAAAGAGATGACGACTTGTGAAATAACTATCACTTCGTCTCCCGGCGACTCTAGCGCCAGCGCCGAGCCCCCTTGTCCGAAACTTGCTGCCGATGACCGGAAGCGAAAGGGAAGAGCTCTCGATGACACTGAGTGCCAAAGCGATGTAAACAAAACTTTAGTCCTTTTCTAAGACTGTTACACTTCATCAGTATTTTAACGAAAAATCACTATGATCATATGAAACAGAATTGCATCAAATCAAACTGTTTGAAATGCGTGGTTGAACAGTGGCCATTGAAAGCTCCACAGATAATTGCTGAATGTATTGTTTTGCAGTTCTGGGGTGATTTGCTAATGTTCTTTTTCATTAGGATGTTGACTACGAATCTGCTGATCTGAAGAGGCAAATGCAGGGGTCGACATCGACAAAGCGATCTCGTGCCGCCGAGGTTCACAACCTCTCGGAGAGGGTGCGCGATTGAGTTTATTAGTACTATTGTATGCTTGTGATCAAGCAAATGTTTCCTTTTTGGTAGTGTTGTTTTACTCTTGGATGTGAAGTGAAATATTGCAATTCTACTTGCAGAGACGTCGGGATCGGATAAACGAGAAGATGAAGGCTTTACAGGAACTCATACCTCGATGCAACAAGGTTGGTTGCTTAGCTTCGTTGTGGTTTTCAGTTGAATGTTTCTTTCTTTCCAATGTGCAAAGTTAAGTTCAGTTCCCTATTGATTTTCAGACTGATAAGGCTTCGATGTTGGATGAAGCGATCGAGTACTTGAAGACTCTTCAGTTGCAAGTGCAGGTACATGCTTTGAGTTCTTCCTTAGGGATGCAAGTATAAGCTTAACTTTGGTATAAGGAAATGTATGAATCAGAAATGTCTCCTATTTAGAGCAATAAAACTGTAACGGCCTATTGTCCTCTTTGGACTTCCCCTTAAGGTTTTTAAAACGCCTTTTATAGGGAGAGGTTTCTACACTCTTATAAAGAATGTTTAATGTTTAGTTCTCCTCCCTCCCGTTGATGTGGGATCTCACAATCCACAAAGTCCCAGTGCCCTTGTAAAGAATGCTTAGTTCTCCTCTCCATCGATCTCACAGTCCACTTCCCTTCGGGGCCTAGCGTCCTAGTGCCCTTATAAAGAAGGCTTCGTTCTCCTTCCCAGCTGATATGGGATCTCACAATCCACCTCCCTTCGGGGCTCAGCGTCCCAGTGCCCTCTCCTCTCCATCGATCTCACAGTCCACTTCCCTTCGGGGCCTAGCGTCCTAGTGCCCTTATAAAGAAGGCTTCGTTCTCCTTCCCAGCTGATGTGGGATCTCACAATCCACTTCCCTTCGGGGCTCAGCGTCCCAGTGCCCTTACGAAGAATGTTTCGTTATCCTCCCCAACTGATGTGGGATCTCACAATCCACCCCCCTTCGGGGCCCAGCGTCCCAGTGCCCTTATTAAGAATGCTTCGTTCTCCTCTCCAGCCGATGTGGGATCTCACAATCCACCCCCTTCAGGGCCCAGCGTCCCAGTGCCCTTATAAAGAATGCGTCATTCTCCTTCCCAGCCGATGTGGGATCTCACAATTCACCCCCCTTCGGGGCCCAACGTTCTAGTGCCCTTATAAATAATGCTTTGTTCTCCTCCCCAGCCGATGTGGGATCTCACAATTCACATCCTCCCCCCTCCCCGGGCCTAGTGGCCTAGTGGCCTTATAAAGAATGTTTCGTTCTCCTCCCTAACCGATGTGGGATCTCACAACCCACCCCCTTCGAGGCCCAGCGTTCTAGTGCCCTTATAAAGAATGTTTTGTTCTCCTCCTCAGCCAATGTGGGATCTCACAATCCACCCCCCTTCGGGATCTAGCGTTCTCGTTGACACTTGTTCCCCTCTCCAATTGATGTGGGACCCCCAATCCACCCCCATTCGGGTCCCAACATCTTTGCTGACACACCGCCTTGTGTCCACCCCCTTTTGGGGCTCAGTCTCCTCACTGGCACATCGCCCGGTGTTTGACTCTGATACCATTTGTAATGGCCCAAGCCCACTGCTAGCAGATATTGTCCTCTTTGTACTTTTCCTTTCGAGCTTTCCCTCAAGGTTTTTAAAACGTGTCTGATAGGGAGAAGTTTCCACACCTTTATAAGGATGCTTTGTTCCCGACTCCAACCAATGTGGGATCTCACAAAGGGATGGTAGAGCGAATAGGAAATAAAACATATTCGCAGCGATTCTGCCTGCTTCATTTCAACGTCTCAGATTGGTAGATGTTCATTGTGAATTCTCTGCATATACATATACAAGGCATATTAGTAAACATTATTGTCAATGTCTAGCACTTAAACATTATAAGCTGATGCATCTAGATAACTTTAGCAATGACTGTTTATAACCCAGATGATGTCGATGGGATGTGGAATGATGCCGATGATGTTCCCGGGCGTTCAGCAATACTTGCCACAGCCAATGGGGATGGGAATGGGGATGGGGATGGGGATGGGAATGGAAATGGGCATGAATAGACCAATGATGCAATTTCATAATCTCCTTGCTGGTTCAAACTTGCCAATGCAAGCTGGAGCGGCCGCAGCAGCAGCAGCAGCTCATATGGGCCCGAGATTCCCTCTCCCTCCCTTCGCAATGTCTCCTGTTCCCGACAGCGATCAATCTCGAGCTCAAGCGACGAATAATCAACTCAATCCAATGGCTAACTCAGTTGGAACACAAAATGCAACCCCACCTTCAGTTTCGGGTTTTCCCGATTCATATCAGCAGTTTCTTAGCTCGAACCAGATGCCATTCCATATGGCACAGCCTCTGCAGGTACTTTTTCGCATGTTACCTTCATTCTGTATTGAAATTCAGCGTGTTAGATTATCAACCTTGCAAATTGGAACCTTAACCTTTTACAGAATCATCAGCCAGTTCAGCCGAATACGATCCGGCCAGGTACGAGTCGGGTTCCTGAAAACCACGAAAATCATCAATCTGGTAAACTTCTTCATATATCTTTTTGTAAGTTCAAAATACTCAGTTGGTTGTATGATTCTTTGTCCATAGATTAGTTGCACTTCGAAATAAGTTCGGTTCACATCGTTGTTATTTACTCGTCTTTCACATATTGTAGGTTAATATTTTGAATGCATGGACTCAAGAAACACTTTCTGGGCAAGTTTTGGTGCATGTTACAGCGTCGAAAGCTTTGAACATGCCCGTCCGCTGCTTGCTAATACGATATATATTCGCAAATAACATGTAACAACCAACCACGTCCCTGTAAATAAAAATCTATACCCCTTTTGCATTTTGGATCTTGTTTTGATCATTCATGGCATCCTAGTCTTTTTCCTGAATTGTGATTCTGTTAGATTGTGATAGAAAGAAAGTAGAGAATTTCTTTTTACACGAAACTATTGGTTTGCATTTGGTCGGGTCGGGTCCAGGATGCTGATGCTGATGCTGATAGATCCAACTTGATGTGGTTGTTATTGTCGTCGGGGTGGTCGAAGTATTCCAAACTCGAGAGCCATTTCCATGTTTCCTCCTGGACCATGGTTCCCACTGCATGATATTCAAGATTCTTTTCCTCCATCATAATAGAACTTGTTTCATAGCCATTTCCACTTGCATTTGGAATATGAACTCTGAACTTGTTTCAAGCTTCTGTGCTTTTTCCACTGAATTTTTCAATGTTGTCTGAAAGTGGAAGATGAGCAAATTCACTGTAAAGATTAGGTCTTCTGTAGGAGATGTAAGTGTGAACTAGGGTCATTTTTGGTATATTTACATTTTTTGTTATTTGGGAATAGTTTTTGGTATGGAACCATTGAAGGTGACATTTTTCATATGCAATAAAAATTCTTAACTTTTTTATTTTATTATTATTCCTTAGGCGTCGTTGTTTAATTTAACTATGCTCAAATTGATGTCTATCTCTGGAAATCTTTTTAAAAAATATTATAAAAAATATTTTGGTTAAATGTAATTATTTTTGGAAAATGTAGGAATAATTAAAAATTATATACTCATCTTTTTTAATAAAAAAAATAAGAATAAAGAGGAATAAAGTGAACGAACTACTCTTTTTGGTTTATTACTAATTTGCCCTTACGTGTAGAATAGTTTTTCTTGTTGGTCCCCATTTTCTACGTGTTATGGGGCATATGTATAAGATTAAAATTTAAAAGGGATGGGTTAGCAAAACGTCTAGCCCATTCTTCGATAGAAGTTTTTACGGGATCTCTATCTATCAAAATTTTGACTTTTGATTTCCGCTATTGAGACAACACATACAAAAAGGCTGAAGCAAGTTTCAACAATACAATTGTGGGTGTTAGAAATGTACAAGGTTGGGTAATTTCTTAGTCCTTTGTTGGTACTCGTGAATTCAAATGTCCAAGAAGAGGGACACCATTTGTCGTTCAAACGCCAGCAAAAAATGCTAATCGAGCTAATTTTGTATATTTATTAGGTCAACTTTCTAGACTTATATCATACTTGCCCAATCTAAAAATTTTATTCCAGTTCTCATCAAAACTCCAAGTGTTTTCTTACTTTAATCTCTATTATTTAAAACACGAGCAACCAAATTGAAACATTTAGACGAATAAACACCAAATAAAATAAAAAAAACAAACAAAAAATGGATTAAAACTGATATTCAATTCAACCTTCCCATATATAACTAAGTTCATCAATCCCCTTGGCAAAGTTCTTAATGTAAATGCCATCATCTTTGGCGATCCAAACGCAGTTCTTCCACCCACATTTCTCAAACAACCGGGCATCGTGCCAAAACACCTTAAAAGCTGCCTCATCGCCGCCGCTGCCTCCGCCTCCGTCGCCTTTCTGAAGGCGGCACCAGAAGAGTGTGGAGTGGAAGAAATTGGCCTCAAAACTCCACGAGAAATCGGCGGTCGGAGGGAGTGTGTGGAGGCCGAGATCATCGTCTTGTGATCGACAATGAACCGACATCGCTACCGCCCCGTTTAAGCCATTGGTGACGGTCACATGCCAACGGATAAAGGCAGGGAAGACACTTCCTTTGGTCTCCGAACACAAAGATGGAGTCAAGGATTGTGAGAAAAGAAGAAGAAGAAGAAGAAATAAAGGAATAATTTTGAATTTGGCCATTTCTTTTTCTTTCTCCTTTTCGGGTAATTGGGTTTTTAATTTTTATAGGTATAAATCTACAAGCTTTATCGCGTGATTCTTCCTTCAATACTCGAGTCCCGACCATAATTAATTTTTTAATTTTAATTTATGAGATTTTATTGAGGATCTTTAAGATCGAATTTCAAGATGATGGTTACATTCAAATGATTAAAGAATTTCATAAACTCGAAAAAAATTAAAAGTCAAAATCTAACCCTAGAAGGGTATTTTGGTCATTTTAACATCTTTACGTAAGTTTCAATTTTTCTTATTAAATAGTTATCAAATATGTGATACCAAAAAAAAAAAAAAAAAACGAACAATCAACCAACGCTGCCCAAATTATTCACTTTATTCTGCTGTATATTTTTTATTTATTGTTCGGGCATAATTCAAGAACAAAATGAATGACTAAAAGATCCATTTGTGAATCAACTCGTCATTATTAGCAGGAAAGTTAAACAAGTAAATTCCATCATCTTTAGCTATCCATAAGCAAGTTCCTTGAGTTCCATTTCTGCACCTATCACGAAGCCATGTGTTCTTCGACTCAGGCCAAAAAGTTTCAAAAGTGACATATGCATCCGGCCTCTCTAATCTGCACCAAAAGAGGGTTGTTCCCCAAAAATTTACCTTAAAGTTCCATTGGAAATCATCTCCACGATTAGGCAAATGGTGAATCCCCAAATCATCGTCTTTGGACTGACAATGCACTGTCAACGGAAGCGTGCTTAGACCATTAGCAACATGAACGTAATACCTTGAAGGTTTCGGTTGATATATAATTCCCGGAACCTGAGCCCCAACAAAAGCCACCATGCCCAACAACAAAACAACCACATTCTTAATCATTTTCCTAATTTTTTTTTTGTTCATCTATGTATTGATTATGTGAATATAAATATACATCGCAAACATAAATTAAGGAAAAGCATGTAACGTTTTAAGAAAATGAATAAATTTATTATTTGATTTATAGTAACGTTCAAAACTTACCTTAAATATAAATAGAAAATACAGACAACGGTTAAATATATGGTAAAAAGGTTTGCATGATACACCATGATATATTCTTATCCATTTTGAATTTTTTTTGGGATGATTTTGAATCAACGGAAGTACCGTTCGGAAAAATGAAACATAAGATATTATCTGTTTTAGCTTGTTATGTATTTCATGATTTTAAAACGTGAACCAAATGCTACTACTATTCCAATGAACCGTTTATCAAATCATTGTAATTGATGTTCGAGTTCGAAGAGAAGGAAGAGATATTCGTAAAGTGGGTTTTTTGATCCGATAAAGAATCAAACCTATTTAAATGTTCCTGTTATTCAATATTTCCTTGAAAAGGGTGCTCAACCTGGGAACGGGTCATGATATTTTAAAGAAGGCAGAGTTTTTACAAAACTTCACCTTAATCAATAACCTAACTCCGATATATTTTCATATGTTCATGAATAATTCAAGAACAAAATGAATTAATAATAAAGGTTTGGTTCTTTATCTCGTAATGATCCAAGTATGAACCAATTCATCAGTTAGCTACATGGTTTCTCAAGTAAATTCCATGAAGGTTTGAACTTTCATCCCAATTTTATTTCTCATTCTTAACTCTATATTGTTTATCGAGTAATAATATTTTCATATCTATTAACACTTTTGAGTTGTAGATATTGTGTTAGTTGGTATCAGAGTCAAGTTGGTAACCAAGGTTTGATATTATTACTTAACGAGATGAATGATAGAAGTGCTTCTATGGGTATAGCTATGAAAAAGCTTGTTGGGAATAATTATAATTATGAGAAGTTATGTATCGAAGCTTTAATTATTGGAAGTTATGTATCGAAACTTATCTACAGCGGCAAAATTTGTGGGATTTAATTGAAATCCACAGAATACTGAATTACGCCGAAAATGGAAGATCAAATGTGAAAAAGTTTTATTTACCTTACGAATTTTGATTAGCAAGGAATATATTGATCATGTTCGTGATTTAAAGTCACCAAAGCAAGTGTGGGAAACACTTCAAAGCTGTTCACTAAGAAGCTTGATTGCAATTTCTAGAGAATGAACTAGTTATGGTAACTCAAGGTAATTTTTCTGTTGAAGAATATTTATTGAAAGTGAAAAAATATGTGTTCTAAATTTTAGAATTAGATGCTGAGGAGCTAGGGAGTGATGCTCGATTATAGTGGATTACAAAAAGACTTTATACCCTTTGTTTCCTCAATATAAGAGTGGGCAAAACAGTCCGGCCCACCAGTTTCTCCTGGTTCTGGAAGAGGCATTTCTTCAGGTGTAGTTGAGTCGGGTTTCAATAACTTTGGACCAGTGGGGCGGGGTGCTCAACCTGATAAAAATCCTAATGGTTTTGTGGATGTTAATTGGCTGGTGACGTGAATGACAGACGCTCCACAAGAGATTTTTATTTTAGAGCAGACTCCGTTACAATTTCATGGTGTAGTAAAAAGCAAAACACGGTTGCTTTGTCAAGCAGAATATGTAGCTGCTGCAATGATGTTTGTGGCTCAGGAGACTTATTCCAGAAATGTGTTATCGCAGATGTTGAATTGCAGAAAATACATATTAATGAGCAAGTTGCAAACACGCTAAAATGAATGCCAAAGTGAATTTGAAGTTTTTCTTAAACTCTCGAATTTATTGAGAAATAAGCTTGCAACAAGTGAGGCTGTCAGAATTTAGTGCAATTTAGTTTGAATTCTATTTTTTATTCTTAACTCTATATTGTTTCCTTAAAAAAAAAAAAATATATATTTTCTTGTGTCATATTCTAACTGAGATTATTAGAGATGATTCAGAACTACAATTCGATAGAAGAACTTTGGGGCACCCTTGGGGTATTCGGAGATTATTGGAGATGATTCAGAACTACAATTCGATGGAGGAACTTTGGGGCACCCTTGAAGTAATGCACCAGGTTCCGTAGCTAACCGAGTAGCTATAGAAGCATGTGTACAAGCTCGTTGAGTGACGTGAGTTAACAAAAAAATTTCATTAATCTTCAAAACTTACAAGTTAGCAACAAAAACATCAATCTTTCTAAACAGAAAATAGAAAATACTCGCAAAACGTGACACTAAGATGGTCGGTGTCTTGGTGACACTACGATTTGTTCTCCATTTTGGCCTGTTACGTATCTCATGATTTTGAAACATGAACCAATGTCTCTATTAGTGGATATTGTCCATTACCTCCGAGGAAAAGGCAAAACATAATCGCCTTGAATTCGGGACAGCTATTCGAAATCTTAGTGAAAGACTGGATTTGTTATCTCATGTTTACTTTTCGTGAAAAAATACCAATTGAAGTGGAGGGCTTCTTCAAACAATGAGTTGGGTCAACTATTCAATCAAATGATATTGAGCATGTTTTATGTTTCCCATTTCTTCTCGAGAAACAAGTGGGCTATTTCTTTTCAAAATTATTGAAACCCGAACGTATCTCTTCCAAGATGTCTTCTTTTTGTCCATTACGTATCTCATGATTTTAAAACGCGAACCAAATGCCTACTAGTGGATGTTGTCCATTTTGACCCTTGACCCATTACATATCGTTGTCAGTTTCACGATTTTAAAACACCCATACACTTATAAGAAATGATTCATTCTCATCTCTAACCGATTAAGATCTCACAAATAAAAACTAAGATAAAAAGTTGATAGAAACTTATTTACTTAGTTGTGTACATCATTAAACCT